GGCCACATTTGGGTTTAGTAACTTTTCTTGGTTTTCAAAAACAAAGAAAGGATCTGAACCCTAAATCCAAAGATGTAGGAGCCAAATGAGAATTTCTTTCTTTGTGCTTTGGTTATTAATCCGAGTCATGTAAACTTCGACACCGATGGCTAGATTGATGAAAAATTAGTCTAGCTTAGCCTCATATGGGTTCGGTAAATTTTCTTGGTGTTTAGAAACTAAGCAAAGTTCTCAAACCTAAACCAAAGATATAGGGGACAAGTTACAATTTCTCTCTACTCATTTGGGTTAATAATACATATAATGCATACCTTGACACTAATGGACAAGGAGACAATTTTGTTTTCTATTATGACCACATTTGGGTTCAGTAACTTTTCTTGATTTTCAAAAATCAAGAAAGGTTTTGAACCCTAAACCCAAAGATGTAGGGGCCAAGTGAGAGTTTCTTTCTTTGTGCATTGGTTACTAATCTGAATCATGTAAACTTCGACACTTGTGGCCAGATTGATGAAAAATTAGTTTAACTTGGCCTCATATGGGTTCCATAAAATTTTTAGGTTTTCAGAAACCAAGAAAAGTTCTCAGCCCTAAACCCAAGATCTAGGCGACAAGTGACAATTTTTCTCTACTCATTTTGGTTAATAATCCATATGATGCATACCTTGACACTAATGGCCAAGGTGACAATTTCTTTTGTTCTAATTTGGTCACATTTGGATTCAGTAACTTTTCTAGGTTTTGAACCCTAAACCCAAAGATGTAAGGGCCATGTGAGTGTTTCTTTCTTTGTGCTTTGGTTACTAATCTAAGTCATGTAAACTTCGACACCGATGGGCAGATTGATTAAAAATTAGTCTAACTTGCCCTCATTTGGGTTCCGTAAATTTTCTAGGTTTTCAAAAACCGTGAAAGGTTCTCAGTCCTAACCATAAGATCAAGGGGACAAGTGGCAATTTCTCTCTACTCATTTGGGTTAATAATCCATATGATGGATACCTTGGCATTAATGGCCAAGGTGACAATTTTTTTGTTCTAATTTGGTCACATTCGGGTTCAATATCAAAACCAAGAAAGGTTATGAGCCCTAAATCCTAAGGTGTAGGGACCAAATGAGAGTTTCTTTCTTTATGCTTGGGTTACTAATCCGAGTCATTTAAATTTCGACACCGGTGGCCAGATTGATGAAAAATTAGTCTAACTTGGCTTCATATCTATTCTTTAAATTTTCTTGGTTTTCAGAAACTGAGAAAAGTTCTTAGCTCTAAACCCAAGATCTAGGAGACAAATCACAATTTCTCTCTACTCATTTCGGTTAATAATACATATAATGCAAACCTTGACACTAATGGCCAAGGAGACAATTTTTTTCCAATATGGCCACATTTGGGTTCAATAACTTTTCTAGGTTTTTAGAAACCAAGAAAGGTTTTGAACCCTAAACCCAAAGATGTAAGGGCCATAAGAGTTTCTTTCTTTGTGCTTTGGTTACTAGTTTGAGTCATGTAAGCTTTGACACCAATGGCTAGATTGATGAAAAATTAGTCTAACTTGGCCTTATATCGGTTCCATAAATTTTCTCGGTTTTTAGAAACCGAGAAAGGTTCTCAACCCTAAACCCATGATCTATGGGACAAGTGACAATTTCTCTTTACTCATTTGGGTTAATAATACATATAATGTATACCTTGACAATAATGGCCAATGAGACAATTTTATTTTCTAATATGGCCACATTTGGGTTCAATAACTTTTCTAGGTTTTCAGAAACCAAGAAAGGTTTTGAGCCCTAAATCCTAAAATGTAGTGGTCAAGTGAGAGTTTCTTTCTTTGTGCTTTGGTTACTAATCCAAGTCATTTAAACTTCAACACCGGTGGCCAGATTGATAAAAAACTAGTCTAATTTGGCCTCATATTGGTTCTATAAATTTTCTTGGTTTTCAGAAATCGAGAAAATTTCTYAGCCCTAACCACAAGATGTCGGGGACAAGTGATAATTTCTCTCTACTCATTTGGGTTAATAATCCATATGGTGCATACATTGACATAATGGCCAAGGGGACAATTTTTTTTCTACTTCGGCCAAATTTTGATTCACTAGCTTTTCTTGGTTTTCAGAAACTGAGAAAGGTTGTGAATCCTAAATCCTAAGACGTAGGGGCCAAGTGGCAGTTTCTTTCTTTGTGCTTGGGTTACTAGCCCAGGTGATGTATAGTTGGACACTAGTGGCCAAAATGATAAAAAATTACTSAAATTTGGTGTTATATGGGTTCCATAAATTTTCTAGGTTTTCAAAAACTGAGAAAGGTTCTCAGCCCTAACCATAAGATCTAGGGAACGAGTAATAATTTCTCTCTACTCATTTGGGTTACTAAACCATGTGATGCATGCTTTGACACTAATGGTTAATGTGACTATTTTTTTTCTAATTTGGCAACATTTGGGTTCAGTGACTCTTTTTGGTTTTCTAATTTGGCAACTAAACCAAGTGGTAGTTTCTTTCTTTGTGCTTGGGTTACTAATCCGAGTGATGTAAACTTGGACACTGGTGGCCAGATTGATGAAAAATTAGTCTAATTTGGCCTTATGTTGGTTTTGTAAATTTTCTTAGTTTTCAGATACAAGAAAGATTCTTAGCCCTAACCATAAGATATAGGGACATGTGACAATTTCTCTCTACTTATTTGGGTGAATAATCCATATGATGCATACCTTCACACTAATGGCCAAGGTGACAAATTTTCTTTCTAATTTGGCCACATATGGGTTCGACAACTTTTCTTGGTTTTCAAAAATCGAGAAATGTTCTAAACCCTAAACCTAAGATGTAGGGGCCAAGTGACAACTTCTTTCTTTGTGCTTGGGACTTCAAAATCCATCAACAAGTGTCAAGAGCCGAGAAACAATCCGCCCTTCCACTTCTCCATTTGTTTTCTCTCATTTAGGAGCTATGGAATAAATTTCACCAATAAAGATAATAGAGGGTGCATTCTTTTCAGCTCCTTCAAATGCCTTTCTGAGATTACTTTCACTCTGTCCAGCTAATTTTGACATAATTTCTGGTCCATTAATACAGAAGGAGAAAGCACTAGTTCTCGTTTTTGAGCCATCTACTTTTTGACTCCACTAACATCACCATAACCTATTTTATCTAACCCATCTTCATCATTCCCCCTTTCTGATTCTTCCTCACAAAAGATGTTAGTGTTTGGAGCAACCACACAATACTCTGCTGGGTCGGTCTCAATAACCTTAAATCCAATACTCCTCATTCCACCTCTAACAAGGAAGAGATTCCCTTTCCCAATTGGATGATATGCTTCCAAGAATAAGCTACAAATGCAACCCCTCAAATCAGAAGAGAAAATAAAGTTTCTTGTTCAATTTGAAGAGCCAAGTAAACTAGAAAAATCCTTTTTTTTTCTTTGTGACAAAGCATAACAAGATAGGAGCATTATGTTTATGGTTGTTCTCAAGAGAGACGTGAGACAGACTAAGCACTAAAATGGTTATGAAGAAAAAGCTTCCTATCAACAACTTTTATAATTATTATTTTATGATTGTCAATATCTAATATAATAATCAAGGATAGCAAGAAACTAAATTATATGGTTCCAAATATCAGTTAACTACTGAATAAAAGTCACTACACCATGAAAATTGTTAAATCCTAATTACAGAAATTCAATGGGCAACTTGAAAACCGAACTAAGTTATGTTTTCTGATTGCCCAACACTTTATTTCACATAGCAATATTAGTCATATGACTGCCTTATAAAAGTCTCATTGGTAACATGCTAGTAATACATCATACAGTCTCATTTGTAAAATTAATTATACTAATTTTAGATGCTCTCTATTAACAATTTTATCATTAAGTCACTTTTARTAGTAGAGTACCTAAATAATGCACGTATTAGCATTTCTCCTACCATATACTGGACATTGCATGTAATACTTAGTACTTTTCAACAAATAGTGCATAAATAATCTGGTTCAGGTGTAAATTCTTCTTTACATATCCAAGGACATATGACCTCTTTCATGCAAATGGTGTTTTCATCTTATACAAGGACAAGATTTTAGATTAGTGAACTTAGGACTCTCCTAGTCTCATCTTGATAATGTTTCTAGACTATAAGAAAAAGAATCCAAAAAAGAAAGACGAAAAGAATTACGGAAACACAAAAGACCCTCCATCGGTGACATTGAAATGGAAACATAGTTTCTTAGTTGAAAGCAACGCAAAACCCTCCATCGGTAACTCTTCTTGGTTTTGGAATGGAAAAACTGTAATAGTTGAAAGCAAGGCAAAGAAACCCAAAAGAGTAGCAAAGAGAGGCAGAGAAAGAAATTGATAAAAGGGAATAAATAAATATCTTAGTAGGCAGAGGTGAAAAAAMACTTCCAAGCAGAAAACCAAAATGTGTAGACCTTCCCTCGAATGAGTGAGTAARAACTAAAAGACGTAGAGCTGAAGATAAACTCTAGAAACTCCTGAGCTGAAGAGAAACTCCAGAAACTTCCGAACTAAAGAGAAGGAGAGAACTAAAAGACGTAGAGTTGAAGAGAAACTCTAGAAACTCCTGAGCTGAAGCTTCTCTGTAATCACTACATAGAATGAGAGCAAAGATTGGAGATTCGAGAAAACAAGAGATGTAGGRAGATTTGAGGGATTAGAGAGGAGAGAAGAGAAAGAGAAAAGAAAACATTCACACGCAAGAGAAAAAGATGATCGGAAGATTTTGTTCAAATTAATAAAGGGGCAATTTTGTCAAAAAGAGATACAATACGATGCTCCCCTTTCGTATACAGCTGCTTTGTTTAAAAAAGTTGTCTTTTTTAGTTATTACATGAAGTGTTTTTCTTCAAATTAAGGCGGCCGAAAAGCTACCCTTATCGGCTAGAATACCAATAAATAATACGAAACAGGAACTTATTTTAAATATTTATTTGGCTTATTGCAGCCAACTACCATAGACTTTCTCTTTTCCTTACACTCTCTCTTTTTCCTTAGGCGTCTTGAGCTCGCGGTGAGTATCATCGTTGCCGCTGAGAGCCCATAAGACGTTGTTGATCAATCTTCAACGCCGGACGCGAGTTATGGCTGTCAAGCTTTACAAGTGTGATTACCTGTTCATGTAAACTTCTTGGCTCAATTACTTGCTGACCTTACTCTCCAGAGTCAGACTGACGTCCCCCTGAGAACCCGGCGAGCTCGGATCCGGCCGTTTCCGTAGATATGCTACAGATAGCACTCAATCCGCTCTTCGTCCAGGATCTAAACGCATTCAACTCCAGCGCTCTCGACGCTCAGACCCCAAAACTATGGAACTCTAGAAACAAGAATCCAGAAAATGGAATAAACAAACTCTAAATATTGAGGGGGAAATCGAAGTTGCAGATGCATTCGAAGGTGCTGGAGTGAGGAACAGAGAGAGTGTAGCAGCTCCGCCGGTGCTTGAGCAGCCATTTCTGATTTCTTCTCTCTCTCTCTCTGGTTCGCTGTCTCATTCTCTTCCCGCCGGCTGCAGCCCATGGAAGTTAAAACCGTTAGGACTGGCAGTATCTTGGGCCGGGCTGGGCTCTGGATCCTGAGTAGCGAATGAGGATCACTTTTGCTATGACTAAGTTGTAGCCTAAGCTACAATGCGTCAATGAAAATTATACACGTCACGCACTGAACTCTCCGAACCGCGGACCTGAGAAAAGAAAGCTCAAACCTATTGGGGTACAGACAATAGAAGAGACGAGAAGAACGAGGGTTTGAAATTTGAAGTTTGAACTCCACTGCTTCAAATTGATTTAGCAGAGAAAAAGAGAGAAATAGAAATCTTTCCGAATCCTAGTGAAGGTAAGAAGTTCGTCTCTGTTTCTTTTCTTTTCTTTTTTCGTCCCTTCTTTTTTAGCTTTTCATGATCATCCGAATGAAATGCTTTCCTTCTGTCTCTTGATGTAGGTTGAGAGTGGGATTTTCTTTTTTTTTTTTCTTTCTGTTCGGGTAGAGAAGAGACCTGAAGAGGGTTGGCGACCCTCCCGTTGCAGAGAGGTCATTTGTTTAATTATTAATTTATTATTAGTTTTTGCTCTCAATTTCATTTCATTTGCCTGCCTTTTTTACTCTCTAGGTTAGAATAAAAGGAATTCGTGATTTGTTCTGTGTCCTTGGTTCCTTTTAGTGATTTACAGTGTGCTGTTTCTTTTCTTTTCCTTGAACTGAAGTACCTTTGTTTTGTTGTGATTTGGGCTGTTTTTTTGCATTAAAATTTGTGCCTTTGCATTACTGTTATTTTATTCATGTATACTATAGGCCAGACAAATACTGGTTAGTGTCCAAGTGTTTATGTATGCATACTTGTAACTTTCTGAAAATTTTAGTTCAAATTGTGGTAGTTAAAACTTGATGGGGGTATAACTATATTTTCCTATCTTTTTACAGGAATGGAAACATTCCCTCTTCAAATGGATGGTGAACACTGTCTAAGTTTAAACAATCAAAATGAAGGGGGTCTAGAGGTGGAGTGTAGCACTGCACATAGACCAGGGTCATTGAATGTCTTGGAGCTAAATGCTCCTGTAGAAGAAGCAGACCCAAAAGAAGGGGAGCCATGTAGATCAGACTCATGGAATGACTCACAGACTGATGCTTCTGTAGAAGATGTGGGCCAGAATGATGGGGAACCTGGTGAACCAGACTTATCAAATGACTTGCAGCCAAGTGCTCCCATAGAAGATATAGGCCAAAAAGACAGGGAGTCAGATAGACCAAACTTGTTGAATGTCTCACAGCCAAATGCTAATTTAGAAATAGTAGGTGGAGAAGGTAGGGAGCCAGAAGTCGGGATGAAATTTGATACATGGAATGATGCATATGTTTTCTACAGTCAATATGCTAAATATGTAGGTTTCACTGTCCGAATACAAGGGGGGTACAGAACAAAATGTGGTGTTTACAAAAACAGAATATTTGTTTGTTCGTTTGAAGGTCATCGTTCTCATGATAAACGGCGACTACATGTGAAGTTTCGTTGAGACCTTAGAAGAACTGGTTGTAAAGCACAAATGACCATTTTGTTGCAAGACAATGGAAAGTATTGTGTGACCAAGTTTGAAGGAACTCATAATCATCCAGTTTTATCTCTAAAAGTATCAAATATGCTAAGGTTGCATGAGGAAATGAAAGTAGCACATGCTGCGCAGGATAGTCTCGCCAATAAACCAAGGAAATACCCAAGGGTATATCCAAGGATATATCCAAAACCAAGTTTGGAATTTATGGGGCAGGCTAGAGGAATTCAAAAACTTGGGTTTGTTCATGCTGATTACAGCAACTATTTGCATGCAAAGATGAAGAGAAATAATTATAACAATTCTTTGAGTGTAAAGAGGAAGAAGAAAATGGAAAAGGGAAGTGCAGGAGTTATATTGAAGTACTTTGAGAATTTGCAAGATGAGAACATGTTATCCTTCCACTCGATTCAACTTGATGCAGGAGATCAAATAACTAACATCTTTTGGGCAGATGTAAAGATGGTCGCTGACTACAATTATTTTGGTGATGTTGTTTGTTTTGATACGACTTTCAGAATAAATGATGATGAGCAGCTATTTGCAACTTTTATTGGAGTTAACCATCATAAGAAAATTGTTATTTTTGGAGCTGCACTACTTTATGATGAGAGCATTGAGTCTTTCACATGGGTTTTTCAATCTTTTTTGAAGGCAATGTCTGGGAAACAACCAAAGACAATTCTTATTGGCCAAGATTCAACAATGGAAAATGCAATAAAGCAAGTGTTTCCTGAAGCATATCATCGCTTTTGCTTGTCATATATATCGAAGTGCGGCTAAGCATTTGAAAGATACTTTTGCTACTTCTTCTTTTGAGAAAGATTTAAGTAGATGTATCTATGAGTATAAGGAAGAGGATGAGTTTCTTACTGCTTGGAATGAGATGCTTTCAAAGTATAATTTGACAGAAAATATTTGGTTGCAAGAATTATTTAAAGTGAAAGAGAAATGGGCTTTAGTTTATGGACGAAATCATTTTTGTGCCGACATAGAAAGCACACAGAGGGAGAGTATAAATAGTTCATTGAGAGGATATTTGAAGTCAATTATTGATTTGTCTGAGTTTTTAAGCAGTTTGAAAGGCTTGTGGCAAATTGTCGTATACAAGAATTGGAGATGGATGTCAAAATGAGCCAAAGCACCCCCCACTTGCTTTTTCCAATACAGATGTTGAAAGAAGCCATATCTATATACACTCCAACAGTATATAAGGTGTTTGAAAAGGAGTATTCAGAATCTCTTGATTGTATTATTCTAAGTAAAGTAGAAATTGGAACAAAGATTGAGTATAAAGTAAAGTATTGCAATAGACCTCATGAGCATACTGTTACATTTGACTTATCGAATGTATCACTTGTATGCAGTTGTAGGAAGTTTGAGTTTGTGGGAATTGTTTGTGCTCATGCATTATATGTTCTTCTAGAAAGACAAATAAAACAGCTTCCACCACAATACATTTTAAAGAGATGGACGAGAGAGGCAAAAGTTGGAGCTATAACCCATCATTGTGGGCATACAATTGAACCTAGTCCTAACACGGGATTCACCAAAATGTTTGCAGAGTTACAGAGAATATCTAGAGAGATATCTGTACGTGCTGCGGAGGACAAAAAAGCATATTTGCTTTTATTAGATGTGTATAAGAATGCACGCCAAGCAGTAGAAGAAATTTTAAAGAAAAGAGGCTCTACAGAATTTGGGTTGGACTTGTCATTTTCTTATTGATTTGCTGTTAGATATAGTCACGACTAAACTTTGTAGATGGAATTTTGACAGAGTGGTTAGCTGGAACCTTTTCATGTATTTTAGTACTTATCAAGTATCTGGTAAGACAATACGCTTGGGTTTGGATGGTTTTGGTTTTTATTTGTTTATTTTTTTTTTCAGTAGGTAAGCTAATTGGATGTTTTGCTCTCTCTACTTTGGGTTCTTTTTTTGTTTTTTTTTAAGAGTAGTGGTGGCACCATAAATCTATAACAACAAGATGTTACCCATCTTCTGGATGCTTGGGATTAATTGAAAAAAAAAAAGTGGTTCATTGATCAATGTTGGACAGACTACATAGTTGTAGCTAATGTCGAATTTGTATACAATGAAAGTGAGATTGTTTCATTGAACTATTTTATATGCATATGCATGCAGCCCAATGCCCTGTAGTGCAATAGATCTCTTTATAGACAGGGATCAAGTAGTTAATAGGCAGTATTTCTCTTTACCGTGATAGATTTGAAATGTTGCTACATTTCTATTTATCCTATCTTTTAAGGTTCATGCTACCTATGAACTAACAAGATCTCTTTTAGCATCTGCAGCTACTTTATTGCAGAAGTACAATCTCCTAATTTATTGTCTTTTCTGGAGGATGCTACTGCTACAATTCTAGCAGTGGAACCAAAGCATATACTACTATTCAAAAAATTGATTCTCAGGCTGCTAGAAACATGTAAATAACTCTCAGGTGTACCTGTTTCATTTTAGTTTATTTGATTGTATATGTCCAGATATATGCAAAAGGAGCCAATCTGATAATTACCATACTCACTATCTACTTCTTCCACTAAAGAATGAATCCTATACTGCCAATGCCCAACAGATCAAGAGTTTCCAAATCCCTTGCGCTAACCTCAATTGCTCCATCTCTCCCGTCATAGATAGAGTATAATCACCTATCCACAATAGACACCTGCCTGACCACCAAAGGCATTTGATAAGTTGGAACCCTCTCTCTCACCTACCTGATTTCCACCAAGAGACCCTACCAATATTGAATGATTTTTCTCATACATTGCTCCCTTATCTACCAACACCGTCACTGCTTTGATCTCCCATTCACCATCCAAAGGGTCCAACGCCAATGAATTTTGGGGTGGATTAAGGGCAAATACTAAGGCTATGTTTGGTTTGACAGAAAATAGGAGAGAAACCAAAAGTTCAGGACTTAATGGTTTTGGAAACCCTGCTTGGTTTTTCTGTATGGTGCAAATACTTTTCCAACTTTTTGTGTGGTCTTTCTTTTTTTTTCTTTTTTGTTTTTTTTTCTCATGTTCATCCTTCCTTTTTCTTTTGAATGAAAGTTACTTTTCTCAGAAAAAAAATACTAACAGAATGTTTAGGACCGCTAGTGGGAATTTGGATTAGCTGAACGTGATGGCTGTTCAGTGGGCTGTGGAACCAATGGTGAGGTTCCACACCAGTAATAAATTAATGGGCCCCACTGTGAAAGGTGTGGGTCCCAAGTATTTTATTACTGGTGTGGAACCTTATCATTGGTTCCACAACCCACTGAACAGCTATCATGTTCAGCTTATCCTTGCTCCACTAGTGGAGGGTGGAGGAGGACACTGAATCAAGGGAGACTATCGCCTGGAAAACAGAGATGATGAGAGATCTTCAACTCTTGGGAGTGATTCATGATTCCTTCAAAGAAAATGTCACCTTTCTACCTTTTTTTCACTACCTTAAACCTTTTAAAATCCCCTTCAAGTCCCAGTCCCTTAGAGCTTCTTAGACTTTTCACCTATGAAAAATGGTTTCTCAGTTAAGATTGGATACTTTGTGCCTCAAATCTAGAAACTTGACTGGATTGGACGAAGTTTGGGTATAAAAAACTTATCAGAGCTCTATCTTGAATTCATCAGGATTCCTTTCAGTCCAAAAGAAGGAAAATCTTTATTGATTTAAGGTCTTGCTTGACCACCTGTTCATCCTTGTAGAGAAATTCAAGGGCCTCAAATTGTTTAGACTATCATCACATTTTCTTTTTAATATGATTTCTCAATATACAGCCACAATTTTGTCTTTTTTATTCTCTTTTCTCCCATTTTGTGGCTTGATTTCCCTCTGATAATGCTCTGACCATCTAATTTACTTGAGTCATTCCCTTGGTCTGCCGTTGGAATACAAGACAATTTACTAACAAAGTTTGTCTGTTTCTGGGTATTTGACTGTATATCTCTTCCACTTGATATCTATCTTAATCAATGTTGGAGTAATTAGATTAAAGCCACCATTCATCTTTTAACCTTCACCCCAACCACCATTTTTAGGTGGTTTATCTCTGATATTCTTCAGAATCCATATTTATTTCAAAGACTTCTCACTAATGGGCCTTCTCTTTCCTTTCTTTCTTTCATTTTTTTTTTTTTTGTTTTTTTGAGAGAGAGAGAGAAGTTAAAGTATATTTGTATTACAAAGATGCATCATGTACAATAAGATGTATACACAGGAACTATACAAAAGCTGCCCTTGCAGCACTATACCCCAATACCCTGCTTTACATAAAAAAAATTGTCATGTACAAAACGGGAATTATAACCTATACTTTTAAACAGTTTATGTGTAGCTAACCAAGAAAACACTTTTCCAAAAATCTTCTGGAACACTGAGTCCACTGAACTGTTCTTATTTTTAAATATCCTTACATTTCATTCCTTCCAGATGCACCAAAAAACTACAGCCAGATGGTCTACTGATTCAGAGTGCCCTTCACACAAAATACAGTTGGCTGAATCCAACGCCATTCCTTTATGCAGAAGCTTGTCCATTGTAAGGATTTCACAAGGGACATTTTTTTGTGGGAATATTTTTGCACCATACAAAGGATGCTATTTTTGTGGGAATATTTTTGAACCAAATAATCTAACAGGGACTGATTGCTCATCTGAAACGTGCTATAAAAAGATTGCACAGTGAAAGTTCCTGCACTCTCCCACTGCCATACTCTTCTACCAGGGCCATTTCAATCATTCTAACAAAAAGATATAGCAGCAATTGTTCTTACATTTTGTGCATGTTTGAAATGCACAGTATAGTCCTAATTAGTAGAGATGCTCAATTCCTTAAAAGATTTATTTGCTTTAGACTTGATAAACATGTATACAAATATAAACTGTCTTCCTCATGATTTATTGGTCAGTGTCTAACAGAACATCAAAACTGCTGCCAACTGAATTCTTCTTGTGTAACAAAAGTTAGAGAACTATGATACATTTTAACTGACAAATGTACTATCAACTTTTGAAGGAAATAATTGGAAATGGGTTATGTATCTTTCTATTCATTAAGATGGTTCCTGTGTGTAATCTGTCTCAAGACTCAAGAACTGTCCTTTTTTTGGGGTTCTGTCATCAATTGGGGGGAGGGGATAATCCTCTCCCTTCATTCCTCAATTAATTTTCAGTCAGCCACCATTCTTAGGTACAGAACACAATCTAGTGCAGATCTAATTCTATAGTCCTGTGCTATGTTCAGTGTTTAATTTAAATAGATGAACATCTCAATTTAAGAATTTTACACAATTACATAAAGTTTCTTGTATGATTTTATTGCTTATAATTTGGTTATTAATATATTTTTGGGCTCAACTGTAATTGTGTGTTAGTAAACATGTACCTTTTGCTTTAGATTCTGTGTTTTAAGAGTTTTATGTGTTTCATGTTTGGAGAGGCGGCAACTCACGCCTTCCCAAGGGATTGATTATGTAATTTCTTTCTGATTTAATGGAAATATGATACTTTATCTATCAAAAAATATACATATTTTTCAACTAACGCTATGTTTTTTATGAGCATGTATATCTATGCAGAACTTGAAAAGTAAAACCGTCATTTTCTTATCCATGTCCTAATAACAACCCCTTCTCAACTAGCTGTATCAAGGAAGAAGGGAACAAGGCAAGCATTTTCCGTTTCTTCTCAAAGCTGGAATTGTCTCTGATATTTACTGATTTCAGAGTTGCATCTGCTGCTGGGGTTACTGGTGCAATGTGGTTATCAGTTGCAGGACTGATAACCACACTTAAGCATTTTGTTACCCATTCTTGTACAGGATTTCTGATACTCTCAAGTTTATTTCACACTTGCGCATTTTGTTACTCTCTCTTCTTTTTCTTTTAATCATTGCATGGTCAAAATAGTAAGCTATTGAAGATAAGTATCTCATCACTGTTAAGGGTCCTACACAGTTTCAATCTTTCAGTCCAGATCTGCTAGGTCCTTTTAGCTAGTCTTTGCAGGTTGCCCAATAGAGACTTTCCACTGTCCTGACCATGTGTAATCAGCTTCCC